TCTGATTTCCACATCTCCGCGCACCGCATCAAAGTTGGACTCAGCATCTCCGGTCGCTCACCTCACCACTTCCGGTGCGTCAACGTCATCTCATTAGTTCGGAACTCGGCAGCCAGAGACGTGTCTTGGAAAGAAAGATGGACGATCAAGATCTCCTTTTGTCGTCTACATCCGGCAGCTCCCTGACCAATCCCCCGGAACAGCCTTCTTCATCATCGTCGTCCGCACCACAACCACCACCGGCGGCCAAGAAGAAGTCGTCGCGCAGAGGAGCCGACTCGGCGTCACAGAAGCGGCGCTGCGTGAGCACAGCATGTATCGCCTGCCGCCGGAGGAAATCGAAATGCGACGGAGCCGTGCCCAGCTGCGCTGCGTGCGCCAGCGTTTACGGCACCGAGTGCGTCTATGACCCAAACTCGGACCACCGCCGCAAGGGCGTCTACAAGGAAAAGGTCGATAGCATGAAGGCGCGCAACTCGACACTGCAGATTCTCATCGAGGCCATTCTCAACGCAAACGAGGATGAGGTCCCCGACATTGTGAAGAGGATCAGGACCTGCGACAGCCTTGACACTGTCGCTGAGCAGATCTTGAAACATGAGACTATGCTCCAGGAAGCCGAGGATAACGACAATGGAGACGACGGTTACACGATCGACATGCCCATCGAGGGTGAGAGGGAACTCGCTCGCAAGATGGGCGAACTGCGCCTCGAGAACGGCTCAGTACGCTTCATCGGAGGCACATCACATCTCATCTACCTCGGCGACTCAGGCGACGCCAACACAAACGAGCCCGAATCCGACGCGAATCTCACCAATGAGGATCCCGTCACCAGCTGGACGAGAGTTACGCAAGATAAGGAACTCATCGCCCACCTCATGAACATGTACTTCAACTGGCACTACACATACTTCACGACACTATCAAAAACACTATTCTATCGTGACTTCTTCAAGGGGAAGCACGGTCTCAACTACAAAGGCACCATCTACTGCTCACCACTCCTAGTCAACGCCATGCTATCCCTCGGATGCCACTTCACCAGTGTGCCGGGAGCGTACGGGACGCCGGGGGACAGTCGTACAAAGGGCGACCATTTCTTTGCCGAGGCGAAGCGTCTGATTGTCGAGAATGACGAGTACGAACGGCCCAAGCTCACGACCGTCCAGGCTCTGGCGCTCATGTCCGTCCGGGAGGCCGGCTGCGGGCGGGAAGCAAAGGGTTGGGTGTACTCGGGCATGGCTTTCCGCATGGCCCAGGATATTGGCCTCAATTTTGACGACGGCGGCATGTCCAATGACAAGGAGAATCTCGGCGAGCACGCCGTCGACGCAAGGCGAATGACGTTTTGGGGGTGCTTCCTCTTCGATAAGGCGTGGTCGAACTATCTGGGTCGCCTGCCGCAGATACCCAAGAACTCGTACAACGTGCCCAAGTACGACGTCTTTCCCTCTGAGGATGCGGAACTGTGGGCGCCTTATACGGATACGGGGTTCGATCAGACGTGCAGTCAGCCGTCGAGGACGCGAGCCGTGGGGTTACAACTCTCGAAGCTTTGTGAGATAAGCAGCGATTTACTATTATTCTTTTATCATCCAAATCACATTGGCCGCTCGAGTGGGAAATCGGTGGAACTCAAGAAGCTGAGCGAGCTTCACCGGAGGCTGGAGGACTGGCGAAAGGAACTACCAAACGAACTGGAACCAAAGGAAGGACAACTCCCTAACGTAATCCTCGTACAGTAAGCCCACCACCACACCCTTCAACAAACTCACGATACTAACATCATCCCAGCATGTTCTTCCACCTCCAATACATCCACCTCTTCCGCCCTTTCCTGAAATACACACCCGCAGCCTCACCCCTCCCATCTCACGTCTCCCCACGCCGCATCTGCACAGCCAACGCCGGCGCAATCTCCAAACTCATGCGCCTCTACAAGAAAAATTGGAACCTCCGGCAAATCTGCAACATCGCCGTCTACATGGTCCACAGCGCCTGCACCATCCACATGCTCAACCTCCCCGAGAAGACAGCCAAGCGCGACATCATCCACGGCGTGAAGCACCTCGAGGAAATCGCCGAAGACTGGCTCTGCGCGCGCCGCACGCTAAGCATCATCAGCGTGCTGGCACGGAAGTGGAACGTCGAGTTGCCCGAGGAGGCGGAGACGGTGCTGAGGAGGACGGACGAGACGTATGGCACGTTTAGTACCTCGGACGTGCCGTCGCCGAGGTCGAATCTCACTGTTGCGTCGTCGCCTTCGCCGACGCAGGGTCCCGTTTCGCCGGTGATGGGGAAGCCGGATCAGTATAGCCCGCTTAACCAGTTTGCGCAACCGCAGACTGGCGAGCAGGATGTGGCGCCCAGTCCGACGGATCTGCTCATGGCGAGCGCGTCTCTTGCGCAAATCAGTGGCGCGAGACCACCCTCTCATCAATCTCACAACGGGTTGGGAATGGGTCCAAATTCCCTCGGCGGCTGGTCCCAACCCGGACTCACCCAGTCAATACCAACATATCAACAGCAACAACGTTTCACACCAATGAACAACAACCTCGCGCCATCACAGACCTCCCGCGCCGGACCTACCAGCGCGCGCCAGCAGCAACTATCCCCCGGCCAGGTCTTCCAAGGCCTAGACCAGGACTGGTTCCTCAACGACGGCGCAAAGTGGCACCAGAACTTTGAAGCGTGGAATATGGCCACGTCTCAGCCCGGCGGCGGAGGCGGAGGCGGGATGCCGGCGAGCGATCAGATGTTTATGTTTTCGAGCGGGAGTGGGGGTATGCAGCCGCCGCCGCAACCGCAGCCGCAACCGCCGAGGCAGTCATCTGAGGATACGGCGAGTCCTAATTTTGAGGGGTTGAGTTCGTTGGATACCCATGGGTGGTTGCCGGGACTGGATTAGGACTTAGGCTTCCACTGTAATCTACCTTCCCAGCGACAGAGTTCATGTGTGGTCACATGGATTGAGAATAATGAATGAATGTAAAACCAACGCTGCGTCCTCCATCTTATTTTTGTGCCACGATGCGCTCCCAAGATTGAATTCTACGCGACTTGGAGAGGCTTGATTGGTATTGAAATTGGCCGGCGATCGAGATTTGACAGACTCTTCTTCTATTCCACAGACATTTGACTGAAGGATCCCTGGCTTCGAAGCTCCTTTGTCTTCTTGGAATTTGAAGCGACAGGACTGTTCATCCCCTTACCACGTCCAAGTGGATAGGGTTAGCCATGGCAGGTTACATAGACCAACAAAGACTCATGAACAGCGTTATTTCGATTTCAGGAATCATCGAGGTGAACGCAAGTTTCGAATTGCTTCAACAAAGAATGCCGACAGACCTGTTCCTTTATAAACACATATTCCAGTCATGTTCTCAATTCCCAGTCGTTCCCTTACCCTCATCACCTCCTCGCGCTGCCAAAGATGGCGCTACCACGTACTAGCAATGCGCTTGCTTCAAACAATACACATTGCGCAGCAACGACGGAGAAAAATGTGATGGAACCGGTTCGTGTGGCACCCTTGGTGGAAAAAATGATTATTGTCTTTGGAACAATTGACGACCATCTTCGCGGTCTCACCCTCGACTTCGAGACTCAAAAGATGGTCGAACGACTACAAGGTTCCTAATGGAGACTTGGATAGGTATTTAGAGATATTCAAAAAGTTGCGATGCCTCACGCTTCGGAAATTGAACAGCATTGCAAGAGTTCTTTGTTCGAGTAAGTGGTCACGCAGCTGCCGGAACCTCCAGGAGTTGCCTATTGACTCGAAAGAACATGAAGCTTACCATCTCATCCTCATACATAGGGTTCGCGGATCCGTCACTTTGGGCTGTGTGGGCACAGCGGAGGCCTTACGAATATCTCATCACCAAGGTCAGGGAGCTGCGTGAAGAGATGGAGAGGACCAAAGGTGCCTACTGCGATCCAGACTGCGGATCTTTGGTGCCGCTACACCGGACTGTGGCGAATGAAGATGTCCGTCATAAAATTACGGAACTTGCAGACGACCCAGCCGTTAAGCATTGGATTACACTGAATTACGCTGCGCTGGATGACAGTGTCAATCAGGTCATTGCAAACTCGATAGAGGAGCAAGACAGCGAATGGAAGGAGGCCTGGGTCAAGGCGGTACTGAATGAGTCTGGTCAAATCTATGAAAGCATAGTCAGGGACATTGACTATTTGGAGGGGTTGTGGGGGTTGATTAAGATCCTGCCCGCCGACACGGCCGGGGAAAAGCAGCGTCCGGTGTCATTCTCTCGGAGGTGCTTTGGACGCCGAAAGTAAAGACTCCTCGCAAAGGACTGAAGGCAGCAGAGTTCGTAGCAGTAATTCTTGGTATGTTCGCGTTTTGTTTTCACATCATATGCCTACTGTTGCCACGTATATGTTTACTTGACGAACACTCCTGTAGGCTCCCGTCTCGGAGGAACCGTCGCCTAGCCTTTACCAAGAAGGGAAAGAGGATGTATCAAAATGCGTTGAGAATGGGCCTGTATCTTGTGAGTTCAGAATCGCTGGGTCTTGAGCCAAGTCATCATGAAATAGAAGTCTCCCGGGAGCCTGTGGGCCGCTCACGGTGCGAACGAAAGGTAGACTGCGTGAGATAGGGTCAACTTCGAGGACCAGCTTGTTGGGGAGATCTCACCTCGAGACAGCTTAGTCATCTTTTAGTCTCTGATGGGTACTTTGGAGGCCCTTAGGAGGACAAGAGTTTGTCAAGTCACAACTTCCATATTGGCTCGAATCCTTTCATCACCAGACCTGGTGGTCTCTGCAAAGCAGCTTCAGGGGAAGGGAGGGCGCGACGTCATCAAAAACTATTTCTGAACATTTATCGAGGTTGAGAAAGACAGCTATACTGTGAAACGATGTAATGACATCTTCCCGTGGTCTTCAACGTTGTGTACTGCGGGTATGGCTTGTCCTACCCGGTCCCAGCTCAACTGCCAACTACCTCAGGAACCTATCTGATATCTTCAATCATCGCTGACATCGAGGGTGTTGATCATATCGCTCAACTCGCAAATCACGCTCTCGTACACAGCCTGCTGCAAGCGCGGCTTCAACAAGTCGTCACCGAACCCAAAGTCACACTCCAGACACTTCCTGGTGAGGTCCCTATACTTTGGCCCCAATGTAGGGACCTGTCGCGATAGCCTCCGAACGCTGAGAACGTCTTCCGGGGCCTCTAGGCTCGACCATCGTCCGATCTGAAGCAGAGTGATGCCGAGACTCCAAAGCGTCAGGTTGCGTATACCGTATTCCAACTTTGCGCGCTCGGCGGCGGTCTCTACTTCGTTAGGGCCGCCGTCGCTGCTGTCCTGCACGGCCGTCGCCTCTATCCCCTCCATGCTTCGTGGTAGGCTTGCAGCGGATGACTGAACAAAGTCGAAGCCTAGATGGAGAGTCCTAAGGCATCTGGAAAAGTCCCCGCTCATCTGGAAGAAGGAGAGGTCTCGAAGTGTGAAGTACTCTCTTAGCCATGGTGTCGAGTAGAACTTGAGAACCGCGCTGACCATATCACGAGCCAGTTTGAGTTGGTCGATTATGGAGAGCGTGGACTCGGCGGGAGTCATCAAGACGTCGTTCATTGACATCAGAGCTTGAGACGTGGTCATGGTATGGTTGTGGTTGTCCACGGATCCCGGGTAAATCGAATGCCGGAATGGATCTTGCGATGAGCTGTCAATGTACCCTAGACATCGGTCGCTACAGGCCTCCTCCGAGGCAAAGTTGAAGACGCTATTCAAGGCAGGACATAGACCCTTTGAGCACAAGTTGACTAATGAGCCCTGTTGATTATTGACATTTCTCGTTACGTCAGATTCGTCATCTTCTTTGCTGGCCTCTTCTCGAACGTCTTGCGAAAAGCGAACCTTCCTTCGTTTCTGTCGGGGTCTTTCGTCTGGACCGGGTGCAGCCGACGTAGAGTTGTCGGGTTCAGCGATCCAGGTCCGTATTTGTGATCGTACCAGTATTCTAGCGAGCCTCTCTTGTGCCACAGCCCTATAGTCTTCAGCATAACACCCCGACGGTCAGGGCATGAGCAACGCTCACCTATCACTAAGCTCATGACCCATACAGGATATAGCAACATGCATCTGAACATCATCTTTGACCGTGGTATCCAGGAACAGTCGAACAGTGTGGCGCATGCCGAGTACCTCTGAGGAAGTACTCGAGGTCGACCAAGCTTCAGCAAGGGCTTCGTGGAAGGCTTTCGATGCCCTTCTGACTTGACCGATATGCCCGTATTCTTGGCTTAGTTTTCCACGTTTTGGCTTCGCTGCTGTAAGCTCATTCTTGTTTCGCCTCAGCTCACTCCTCTGCTCTCTGATACGTTTGAGGTCGTCGATGGACGATCGCAGATCTTGGATATGTTTCTCGAACCTGGATTCATCCAGTGAGATCTTCACCCGTCCGCGAAGCCGGCGCACAGCGTCTTTGAGACATTCGCCCTGTGATTGTATTGAAATGTCAGTTCTCTCTTCTAGCGTTCTCTTATGCCGTGTTCCACTTGCCTGTCGGCACTCTGCCGTAAGTCCATCGAAGCAGCGGAAGTCGTCCTGGAAGCTTTGCGCCGCGCCAGCGATGTCTTCAACCACACCCTGGCAGACATCATAGTCCTTGTCTAGTGCTTTTCTCATCTCTTCCTCAATCCGATTGCTATGCCATTGTTGAGTGTCCTCATTGCCGAGCATCAATGCGATTGTCTCTTCATCCTCAACAGTTCGTCTAAGCAGCAGGTGTATCTCATTCGTAAAGAAATTCAGTTGACGGTCAACTTGCTTTTGAATGCGCCGAACTTCTCGCGAGTAGTGCCGAAAGGTCTTAAACTTCTTGCGAACAATAGAGCATGCCTTCATTGCTCCGCCGACCAACGGCAAGAGGCCCAAAGTCAGAGAGAATGGATCCATTGGCAGAACCGTTCAGAGCTTGAATATCCTGATCCTATCGTAAGTGTGAGTTCCTTCCCCCACCTCAAAATGTAAGAATCAGGCTGTTGGTGGCAGGTATGGCATGGCAGGCGGCAAAAGGCGTCGGCTCATTGGTTGAAGCACCGGTGCGCCTTGACGAAGCAGGCTGGCGATTTTGTTGGAACATACCTACCCCGCTCAAACCTGTCAATCTCACATTCACTGCCTGCATTCATTACTACTTCTTTCAATCGAGAAGATGAGTTCTCTGAGAGATGAAGGGGCCGTTGACACGAATTATCTCATTCGGTTGTTCCTTGACACGCCAGCCGAGGAAACGCCTCATGTGGGCGCTAGTCTCGTTGCACGCCTGGCAGAAGGAACAATTGCTGTTTTCCGAGACATACAAAAAAGTCCGATTGACGATGTTAAAGGAGATTCAGAGTCTGAACCATATCTTGTCAGTCTTGGAAGGAGCTCTGACAGACTTCGACTCTGGTCAGACGGATACGGAATCTCCAGCGGCGCCTCCGATGATCTCTTTGAGCGATCTAGTCGACTGCGAGGTGCAACGCTTGAGATTCTATCTAGTATAGGTATGACTCTTACTGAGAGTAAGTCTGAAGTTTGCCGACGAAGTTTCCAGAAAGAGATATTTGGAAATGCATCGAAGCTGATAATTATTGTCAAAAAAAACTAGGACTCATAGCATCAACTTGGGGAGTAGGCCTTCTAGGAAAGACGCAATTTCCAGAGAGCTTCACGACCAAGGTAGGACAGCTGCGGGAACTTGTACAAGAGGCCGAAGACGACAGTTCAAAGAGTGAATCTTCGACTGGATCGTCCGATTATGATGATGACGATATCACACAAATCACTACAGATCTTGAAACAGATACCAGAAGTTTGATGGAACTCGATGCCTTATTCTCTGAACCTATTCTGGATGCCAGACACATGAGGCAATTCCTTCCGTCGTCTTTACACGAATGGGAACCTCATGAACCTTACAAACATATCATCGGCAACAGATTTCCAAAAGCAGATGATGGGCTCATTACCAGTCTCGGAAAAGCCAATTATGAGCGATTCTTGAGAGGTCAAGAGCAGAGAAACAATAGTTCCCGGGCACTTCTGGAACCTGTCATGCTGCAAGAGATCGAGAATTCAGACGCTGCCAGTTCTAAATTCAACGATTCGGGCCTTGGATCATCCATTCCTTCATCTTATGCGGAGACAATTATGTCATACCACGGCGGTGAAGGGACCTCAATCCGTTTACCATCCCTACCCAAGTCGGCCAGGAATGGTTCAAGCTTTTTCTGTATAGCATGCGGTCTGCCAACTACCGTGCAAACTAACTCGGCATGGAAACGCCACTTGTTCAACGACTTGAGGCCTTGGCAATGCTTAGAGCCCTCGTGTGGGCACAAGGGCATCTTCAGCACTCAAGGGGATTGGGTCTCACATCTCGCTCTCGACCATTTCGCGCCCGAATGGAAAGGAGTCGACTGCCCGCTGTGCCGGAAAGACACTGGCAGTGGCAAGATCCCTATTCTCAAACACCTCGGAGGTCATCTTGAGGAGGTTTCTCTCGCTGCTTTACCTTCGAAGTCTGATTCGGAAACAGGAAGCCAACTCTCAGACGCCAGTCATCACAACGGTGCGGTCAGCGACATAGACGAAGATACCGACCTAACACCAGAGATCGGCGGTGTCGACTTGTCTCATATGGAACTTACTAGGGAGCGAAACAAAGACCCGGTCACTTTCGACGAAGCTAAGGACTTTGTTGACAAAGTCAAACGCCAAAGACCTGAGGTTTACAAAGATTTCTTGCATTTGCTGCAAGAATATGAAAAGGACCGGTATATTATAGTCTCTTCCCCATCATCGCTCTCTTGTCCACCCGATTAATTTTTTTCATAGCCTCCCGATCGGGGAAGTCTATACCAGAGTGACAGGTATCTTTTCGGCTGATCCTGAACTGGTGGAAGGTTTCAAGAAATTTTTGCCAGAATCAGCTGAGCTCGCACTGTCGTAAAGCCCGGATTTATTATAAATCATCCTATTCTGAGTACCTCTGTACCGCCCACGTTTATGACTAGCCAGACGGGGCATCTTACCGACGAGGACGCTAGAGATTTGTCCGAAGGATTAGCCATTTTAGAGGCCAGGCGAGAACGTTTACACCGAGCTTTAGAAGAGTTGGGCAGGTGACACTTTTCATTTTTCAGGGAGTTGAACATATCGGGAAGGAGGGAAGAGAGATGAGTGTACAACCACTATTGTGGGAATAGAAAGTATCTCCTTCGCTAGCATGAGATTGATCTCTGAAGGTCGGAGGTTCAGCTCTGCTTTTGTATCTACTTTGTAGGTATTTTGATGCTAGGCCTTGAAATCTCGTCTTCGCCCAGTAATTTCCAAGCTGCTAGCTTTGGAGGTGTCTTCTCTTCCTCACGCTGATATAACGGAACTAAGAGATTCCAAGATGTATTCATTCAGGATTGCGCAAGCCATGCTCAAGCTTTCCGCACTGGACAATCGTCCCAGGTTCCTTAGCGTCGCCACAATCCATACAGCCGCCCTCTTGGCTACCTCGTCCTTCAATTACGTTTCCTTGATACCTACGCCATAGTGTGTTCGGGTGGCATATCTGAACTACATCTAAGTTTGTTAGAAGACTAGCATCACTCCTTTGTACTCTTGTTCAGAATGAGGTGATGTCGTTGTTCACCGCTGGGCTAAAAGCTCTGGCCAAAACAGCTAGAGCAAACTAACAAAGATACATGAACAGCAACACAATCATTCAAAGGCCCTTCAGTCGACAGTATCAAGATATCTGAAGATAGAAAAAAGCCACGGCAGTAAGCCACTTTATATACTTAGGTAGCCAACAATTGCCTGCCATTCTCATGCACGTCAGCTTTTTCTTCTCTCCAGCACCTTCTCTCATTGCCAAAGATGGATACACTCATCGACAGAAACATCGTTTACCTAGAGAACTCTCTGTTATCAATCGCCGAAGCGGCGGCTCAGGAGAAATACCAGGTGGACAAGATTCGCTTATCTCACATGACAAGAACACTGACAGATATCTTCAAACTCACCACCATGATGTTGACACGCGACCTCGAGGCAAGACGAGTGTTCGGTTTGGAGCCGGAACTTGACAGTCTGAAAAGAAGCCTCAAAAGACTTGAGCTATGTAAAGACGATTTGAGACTTGCCACGAGGAGTCCCGATGTGTTTCCAAAGCTGTCGTCTCAGTGGCAAAGTGCAAAGTTCGAGATTCTGACTCGCATGGCAAGGTCTCTTAAGAAATGTATGTACCAGGACCTCAACGGAAGTCTCTAATCAGCTGAGCCGTGTGAAGGGTTCGCTGGGACAGATGTGACACTTGAACGGATTCAGCTACTGCATAAAATTCTGAACGGAGACCACATATCGACACATGACCTCATCCAGAAGGTGTGCGCTGACGGAGATAGTGGAATGATGCAACGTATTATTGTGCGGATAGCAGAAGACGGAGTCTGTACCATGATGGGTCAACTCATCGATGAGGCAGAGGTCGACGGCGGAGCCAACGTGAAGAATCAACTTCTGCGATACGCAGAAATTGACGGAATGAATGGTGACGTGAATAACCTACAAAACGCAGTAAATATCGCTGCAGGCACCATATCTTTAATGGACATGCAGTATGAAGGATACTCCAGCGCTGAAACTGAACAATATTTCTTCCTGACGCTAGACAAAATTTGTGAAGGACGGTATGTCAACATTGTTATATCACCAATCTGCCACCCCTAGATGCCTTCAAACTTCGCTAACATTTTTACAGCCTCACCTGGGAAGATCTCAAGAGAGAATCGTGGGGTAACAAGATGAAAGTTGTCCATGCATCGATCGAGGCTAAGCTGCACTGGTATACAAACAGATCACAAGAGGACACCCAAGAATCGGAGCAGGCTCATTTTCCTATGCTTAGGTATATCTTCCACAGGGCGAGCTTAGTATCGGCTGCATCGGGGGGTGACCTAATCAGGGAAGATGAGGCAATGGCATGTCAGACCGACTTGCTTGCCTTTCAATAACTTTAGGACACTGCTCATAGTTTATATATCTATCGTATTCAGAAGAAGCATCTAAGTCACATACTCCGTTCGAGGTCTAGGTGATCAGACACATAATCTCAAGCTTACACCCAAAGGCGATATTAAAACTTTGATATTACTCAGGACGTCTTCGAGGTATCCGGCTGAACCAACCCCGATAGCAGCGTAAAACCGAAACACGCCGCTAGCGTCGAAACCGAGTTTCTCTGAAGATTCTCTCTCGTCGGCCCACAAGAGGTCTGCGCTAACGTCGAGTCACTTTTACACTCTTCCGGACGTCATTATGCTAGCGAGACATCTTCTCAACAACCCCGCCAAAGTTCATGATCCAAATAGAAGTCACGTTTATATTCATGCCTAGGGTTGTTGAATGTGGTGAGTCAACGCTGGTCACCGCCGGGGCTGATGAGGATGGCCATAGCGGGTGACGAGGGAGATCAACAAAGACACCTGAACAGCGTTCCTGCGACCTGAAAACTCATTGGTCAAGGATATCCAGACGATTTAACAAAGACGAGTGAACAGCGAAACTTCATGTCAATATATAACCTCTTCTTTCTCACGGCATTCGTGTTCTTTAGCTCAATTTCATCCTCGTTACCCTCTCGCAATACTAGAGATGGAGTCGTCAAACGGTATCGATGAAGTTATCCAACATAACGACATACTATCAGGCCTACATGACGCAGTCCGGCAGACAGGTCTTATCACAGGAAGTTATTTGTCCAGCTTTGCAAGCGCAACAGCCTTCATTTTTGGACTCGCCATCGACCTGCTAGCCCGCGATCTAAGGGGAAGTAGGGAGTTGAAGCTTGAAATCGATAGCCTGAAGATAAGCCTCAAGAGACTTCAGAATTGTCAAAAAGAGTACATCGTCCCCTCCCCACCCGACGACGGTCTTGACGAGGACTCCGATGAGGACGAGAGCTCCTATGGGAACCCGGAGCCGACCGATCATTGGCGAAGTACCAAGTACGTGGTCTTGAGCCGTATGTCCACGATTCTAATGACAAGTAAGTGACGACGGCCTTAAGGGAAGTAGACAACTGCGGAAAGTTCCCTTTGGAACTTAGTGGAAGTTAATCATGTTATGTCGTATTCAGGACTCAAGGCTCCGAGGATTTGGACAGACAGACCTCTTCCCAGGCTACAAGCACTAACTCCATGTATCTACGCGGTAGAACCCGAAGGCGAAGATAGTGCGATGGAAGAGATTCTTCGATACGCCTCTTCGGCTGACCCCTTCCAGTATGGCAATGACCATATCTCGAAAATCACGACAGATTTAGCAGCAGCCACCATGTTCTTAATGAATTTGCAACATGAAGGAGGCTATGGTAACCCTGGAGTTGAAGACCGTTTCCTCCCGGTTTATTATAGAGCATGTGTAGATCGCCAGCCCATGGAGTATGTTTGTACTTGTTCATTGCCCCTTGTTTGTTGCTACTTGACTAATTCTATTCCTTGCAGGACCTCTGAGAGGGAATCCTTAATCCTTCAGTTTCAAAACATGGTGCTGGCGTCGAAGAAATTAAACGATGTGTGGAAGGAGCATGAACTACACCCTGGCAGGTACAACGCGCTGTCCAGGCCAAGTTCCCCAGATGAGATCCCTCGCATAAGAGGAGAATCAATTCATTCATACATGAGACACCTCTTGGACGTATCCCGGATGTAGACGTCAATCGTATAAACATAGCATGTTTCTCGACTTGCCTCTTGTACGGCCTCATCCACGTCATGACGACAGCGGGGTATCTCCCAACGACCCCGCCAAACCTCGCACACCAACAGACAATCTCCCTTCCGCCTCGTTCAAATATGATTTTCAATGAGATAATATATCGTTATTCATTTGGGTAGTATCATTCAATAGCTCAAATAAACTAAATATCCATAAGTTTCATTCTGCTGTGAAGGCTGGCGCGACTCACCTTGTGGCCCAATGATGAATCATAGACCAAAAAAAAACCACCTAACCTCAAAAAACCTCACACGACATTCCTCACCCTTCAACTTCACTCATAAAACAACCTACCTCATCCCCGTCCATCGACCATTCATCACAATCCATCACAACCCATAAACTCATGACCATCCGAACCCTTTCCACCCGCCGCATATCCCAACTAACCCATCACCTCCAATCCTCACCCAGCTCACCGCGCAACATGTCCTCCTCCCCATCAACAGCAAAAGCCTCACCAGGCCCAGCGCCCTGGCGCGCCCCCTTCCTCAAAAACGTAAACGAAATGGCCTCACCAGAATTCAACCTCGCAACAATCCACTCCTCATCCTCTGCCTCATCCTCCCTCACCCCCCGCCTCCGCACCGTAATCTTCCGCGGCCTCTGGGCCTCCCTCCCAGTAAACCCCAAAAACACAGCAGACCTCAACCCGCCCCTCTACGAATCCGATCTCCTGACCCTAACAACCGACGCCCGCATGGCAAAAGTGCCCGACTTCCTAACTTCCAACGGAGAAAAAGACGACATCAAAAAATCAGGCGGCGGCGGCCCCGTAGAAGCATGCTTCTGGACCGACGCAAAAGTCCAATGGCGCATCCGCGGCGAAGCCTTCCTCCTCGGCCCGGACATCGACTCCTCCTCCTCCTCCGGCGCCAAAGCGCTCCGCGAGCACCTCCTAGCCCGCATGCGCACCGTGACGCCGGCAGACGCCAAACGCCGCCGCGAGGAAGACATCCCCTCCGGCAAAACCGTCATCGGCACCTCGGAACAGGACTGGTCCTTCGCCCGCGAGGTCACGGCGCACTTTGGAAACTTATCGCCCATGATGCGCGGCACGTTCAGGAACCCGGTCCCGGGGACGTCCCGCGCCGCGAACCCGCCCTCGGACACGCTGAAGCTGGGGCAAAAGGTCGAGGACCTGGAGGACGAGGTCGCGAGGGAGAATTTCCGGGTCGTGGTGATTGTGCCGACCGAGGTGGATCAGACGGACTTGAGCGCCTCGGAGGACCCGAGACGGTATCTGTACCGGTTTGTCGGGGCCGAGGCCGAGGGGAAGGAGACGGAGGGTGCGGAGAGGGTGAATGGGTGGGAGAAGATTGAGCTGTGGCCGTAGATGAGAGGTCTCGGTGACCATGATTGGATTAGATCCGTTTACTACTCCGTGTGCAAGGTAGAATCAAGACATCACTGGCTATAGACTTTTATGGTCCAACAGGAGGCGTCGCAAGCTACCCAAAGAACATCATCATTCTGAGCCCATTTCACGCGCGCCTTCACATCATCATCGTACAATTGTTTGCGCCTCAAAACGTGGAAGATGTGCCAACGAAGCGCTAGCCTCAAGCAGCAGACCGAAAGTCCGAACCCCCAGGTCTTCGTACCTACCGAAACAGCTCTCATAACTTGGTCAGACTCGTCACAGAAAAAGCAGATGGCTGACTACCAAGTACTAGTAGGTACCATGTTGCATGTCGCACGTCGAGGGGGGAAAAAGTCAAGCTACCAGGCCGAGCCGTGCCGTGCTTACACCCCCTCTTCAAAGGTTCACCGGTCGATCAGAAGAGAGAAAAAAAAAAAAAAGAGACCGGACACATCATCCACATTGCGACTCTTCGCCCGAAGCAGGCCTTGTTCCCTTTGCTGGCGCTGTTGGAACAGGGGTGTGAGAGAGAAAGAGACTCTGAACGAGTGTTCCAACACCCAAGTCTCCGTAAGTAAGCTGGGCAAGGAGTGGTACTCAGCGGGCCCCAATGGCCGGCTCCCTTTTTAGGAAAATGGTACGTCCGATGGGATCTGCATGACTGCGCGGGATGGGAGATGTTCTCACGCATGTGAGAGGAAGGAGAGAAAGCAAAGTTCCCCATGAAGTCCGAGTTGGCGAATTGGGATCCTTGCGGATAGGGTCTTGCTGTTGCGACGTGTTGTGACCTGTAACTTGTCGAGGCCTGTTGGTCGAAAGAGTCGGCTGCCGGCGTATGGAGTAACCATCACTACTACACAGTAGATATGCATGCATGTTTCCACGATACGATAGAGCCGCTGCTGGACGCGCGGGCTTGCGTGATCGCGATGCGGCGCGTACGTACCAGGTGTGGTAACAATTCTCCGAACCATGGATGAAGAAAGGCGCCGAACGACGCGGGCATTGCTGCTTCCCGTCCGCGTCGGAAGCTTAGGTTCAATTTTAGTTTTGGTCTTTACTCTTCGTCAACGCGGCCTCTGGAAGGTCGGATATGGTCGGGTCGGTAGTCTGCATCCACAGCAATTCTGTCCCGGTGGGGGAGAGGAGAAACTCCAGAGGGAGAAAAAGGGTAAATTGAGCGAGGGAGAGCAATGGCGACAAAGAATCGTCTCGAAGACGGCCGCTCATGGATAGCCCTGCCACAAACCACATGGCACTTCCGATCAGAACAGCCAAGCTTGTACTCCAACCTCTTGCAAGTCAGCCGATCCCAGGCGAGCTTCAGAGGATAGAGGAGCGACTTTACGGGGTTGAAACGAGATGAAGAACACTTGTTGACGGTTGACCACGTCTGTTCTTCCCCCATCCACCAAGCTTGTTCCGTTGCTCGTTGCTACTGTAACAAAATCGACGGGTTTTGCATCCCGAATAGGGCGATCGCACCGATGAGCGGATGAACATCCCCCAGTTCGGTGGAAGCTCTGAGTGGGCGGACGCTAGCAGACGATAGCCACCAACCCCTCGAGAGCAAGAAAAAATCAAATCAAATCGTAAAGCCACAACTTCTCAGCCTGTCCCCATCGCTAGTCAGTCAATTCCACATGGCAGCCATGATAGCTCTAAACCACAAAGGAGAGCGCTCCCCACTCCGGATCTGGCAGTGCTGCTTCCGCGAAAACTTGGCGGGCGGCCGGCCGTCTTTCTGCGTGTAGCGTGATTACAGGGAGAAACAAGTTGACTAGGAGGTTAGGCGAAGGAAGAGAGCAGGGGCATCTTTCTCTCTCTTGTTTTCACTCACTCACTGTCCAGACTCCAGCAGCCTGCCTCCTTCTTGTTCCGGCGGGTCATTCAGGACACGAGACACGAGACTCGAGGAAGGGCAGCAGATATCAGGCCATCTCCACGAAGAGGATATGCAGCCCCATGTGCGATGACAAGATGCATAGTATGTCTGTACTTCGTACTTCGAGGATATGCCCCGTTCGGCCCCGGGCCCCTCCCCTTCTTCGTGAATCGCGACGGCAACGGCGTGTTCAACAATTCGCCGTTTTTTTTTTAACCTCGCGTTAGAGGCAATACGGCGTGTCGGTTGAACGCGTGGGTATGTCAGGGCAAAAATGCAGCATCCGTCTATAGTTCGAGCTGCAGCTAGCGATAGGTATCCCCTGCGTGCTGTGGGTGACTCGGTGCCAGCTGCCACTAGACGGTTCCGTCCTGAGTATGTGATTGATGGGTCGTCGGCGGAAGCGCGCGGAGTTTCTTGCAACATCGTGTGCGCGCACTGCGCGAACAAGACGGGCCCTGTTCTGACTCTGGATTCGTCAATGGCCAGGGTCCCCAAACTCTAAACCGCGCGACGGGGCCAAGTTCTTTTCGTAAAGACGACGCAGCTCACTGAGCTCTAAACTCATAAATCACTGCGGAAGCTCCCCCGCGCGCGCTTCATCAGTTGTCTCCCACGTGCGTGTGAGGCTGTCGACGGCGCCGGATGCAAAAGGAGGCGGCGTTCCATCAGCGGTCGGCCACCGATCATCTCCGCATCGTACAAGCCGATAGCCCCCCAACGAAAGACGATCCGGCACATGCATTGCTCGCCTAACCGCCGAGGCAGCATCGCGAGATCAGGTGCCGTGAATCAATGGAGCTCGCTTGTGTTGATTCGTTGCCTCCTACTCCAGCGTGTCCCGTTCTTTGTCGACATACGGCAGCTCGTAGGCTGCCAACCGATTCTATTGAGGATCCGCCTTGTTGCAGGCCCTACTCCCTCCCCAAAAAACGACTGTATCGCACCTCTCAAGGGGACGCTGCCACTCATGTAAGCGGTGCGGCTAGGGAAGCTGTTGGTGTGGATGGGTGGCCCCTGGAAGGTTTACATGCAGATGAGAGATGATTTCGTAGGATAGCTGCCACACTGTGAAGAGAACTTCAGATCGATCAGAGCTTCAAAGTGACCTCTGCCCCGTCATAATGAGCTTGCAAGTAAATGCCTAGTTAGGAGTCAAACAGCGCTCGTGCGTCGTCCTCAGACACTTTAATTTGTCGACGCTGCAATTCGGCCAAGGTTCCTCCTGGATTATCTCGAACACGTACGCGTAGTCGCTTCGTCCCGCGGATCGATTTGAGTACCGAGTGCTATCCAGATCGAGTTCTGAAGAAGGAGCAGAGTTACTTACTGCAGGTTGGCCAAACGAGGAACAAAATGCCTTTTCCTACATGTGCTTCGGCACCTATGCTGCTTGCTCAGTGCACTGAGCCCTGTTACATTTGCAAGTCAGTTCCAACACGGACGGAGGTAGCATGCCGCAATGCGCGTGTTTTAAGGCTATGAGCGACAACATGCAGTGTCAAACGTCAGATTGGTGACTTTCCTGATACGCAAGGCCACTCTTGCCCACCTGCGCGAGTGGAATGTAGTCTCTCTGAGATCGGACATGGCGCCGCATCGAACTCGGAGAAACCTGCCGCTCGTCATGGGATATCGCAAACCGCGCAGCGGCCAATATGCATGTCGCCGTTCTTTGAACAAACTCGGGCGTGTGGGTGCTGGCGACGTCTTTGTATGGCTGAAGATGCTTCACCGTGGTTTTCGGGTCTGGTACCCAGTCCTCACCCTGTCGCCCTGCCGATGAGCTGCATTGCGTGTTCAATTCGTGAACTCCCAACATGAACAAGGGTAAAGCTGCCCTTTTCTGCTTGCCGCAACGTGGGACCGAGTTTGCAAGAGGAGCTCCACCAGGACACATCTTCTCCAAGCCGTTTCCGCCCGCTATACTCGCGGCCGCGATGATAACGGAAGACTTGGCCGACTTGAACTTGCATCATAAACCCTCAGCTGCCCGCCCAGAGAGCTTGCCGCCACCGAATAAGGGGTCAGCGTTTGAAGGGTCAACTCAATGGCGCTGCCGCTTTCATAGAAACACAGGGCTGATGAACGCTTTATCGTTGGCAACTTGCAGACTTCCTGACGACTTATAGGCTGTACCTATGTACCTCTACTTCGTAGAATTCGGAGAAATAGGTGTACGAGCTGCTTTGATCAGGGTGGACTGGCGCATCTTGAGAGAACGGGGGTCTCCCTGACACCAGTATCGACTGTTTCGCGGGCACCTCTACTAATCGTCTCAATGAGTTGCCTGACTTTGCCCCGGTTACTCCGGGCGGAGGGAGCCGGGCAGCTCGTTCGTTACAATTGACAGGCTGCCCGTCTCGTTGTGTTCTCATTTGACCGTTTCTAGTTAGACGGTCCGATTGGAGACTGACTGGGCTTCTGCTGCGCCAGAACATCAGTTGGCTGTAACCAACAAGTTTGCGGGGTAATAATGTGTTCAGCAGAGTTGACTGATGCGCTCACCGATTATCACCACACTGGCTAGACACACCCTATAGCGGGTTGTGTACGTAGTATAGGCATAGATACAGACCGGTACGTCCATCCTAGGTAGTCCGTTTTCTCAGACCCTTCGTTGACAAACCCCGTGGAAGCCCGGACAAGGTGTAGTTATCAAATCGGTAGCCGGGCGATTGTGGCTTGTGTCGTTAACCTTCTTCATCTACGAGTACGCGTGAATAAGCTCTTAACCGTGGACAAGGTCAGTGCCGCCAGCCACTTGCGTTCCCTCTGCCTCGCTCACTGTGAAGAGTATTCGACTTGTGTATCCGCAGTGCGTAGGCTACCGGCCTTGACGGACATTGGCATTGTCAGCCAAAAACACCCGCGATTCATCTTATGTATTACTCCGTAGACTTCTTTGAGCGAGAGCCCATATCGGGTGGCATAGGATGCGCAGGGGCCAAGAGCCAGAAGTGAAAAGACGTAGAACCAGTTGCTGGCGGTCTGGCAAAACCGCCAACGCATCAAAATAAAACTAACTGAATGAATGATGGGTCAGATGGTTGGGACTAGAGGCGGGCAGGCCGCTTGATCTGCAGCGGCATGCATGAGCAAGCGAGAGAACAAGGAGGCCGCAAGAGAGGATCGCACGCTGCAGGCATCGAGTGGATGGACAGGTGGCCGTTGGATGCATGAGCTGCAGAGACAGCGTCGTCTCCCCGCTTTGATTGATGAATGAGGGAGGCTGCGCCGGCATCGTCCATCGGAAGTCTGAGGCCCGGCTATTGGCGTGGATGCGGTTCTCACCAACGAAAGCACTGAAGACGTGTGCGTTTTGTGATGGAGAGAACCCTCCTTTTGAGGCTCTGAGCGTCATGTCCGGTTAGTGTTATCAGCAGCGTTGGATGATTCGGCTCGGAGTTAAAGGTGCTACTGGAAGAAAGTGCCGTCGCATCCTCATCCAACTGCCATCAGCGTTGGGAACTGGTCCCTGGACCTTTCTTTGCCTACCAATTGTTGCTGTTAATAACTCAAGGCACAAGCCAGACTTGGACAGTTCTGCAGTGCAAGGTCACGAGCGGCGGACAAGGTTCGAGCTGCGAGATTGAACTCTCCGGGCGTCTCCTTTTTTGCCTCGCAATAGTGTTAATCTGAGTTATCAGTACGAATGAAGTCGGGCAAATTCCCTAGGCGTGGTGAGACCCGAAATTGAAGCCGTTGACCAGCCGCCGATGGCCAGAATGAGCGTCTGGACAATGGCACGAATACCTACGGAGTCGAGGAGGAATAGGGCTAGCTAGTAGTGGCGATCGACGGGGCCCGTTGCTTTGAGATGTTTCATCCTTGCTTGTCTCCGCTAAATGATTTGTTCGAGAAGGCCTGGAAGACACTGTGTTTGGTCCCCTATCCGTACACTTTGTGGCTGCGGTCTGGAAGCTCGGAGCTGCGTTCGCAATGGTCGAGCGACTTACTGCCAGGGAGGGAGGGGAAGAACAAGAGGGTTGCAGCAGACTGTGATTTTCGAAACCGCTTTGAGGATCCAGAGGTTGAGCGATGAGGACTTCCCGGACGTATAGTGCGCTTGGTTTGGTTTCCAAGCATAGCCAGCAACTGAGCAGGACTGACGGCCAATATGGTATGATCCATGCCCTTAGCATCAACTCTTCTCGCTTTTCGATCCTTTCGGGCCTGCTTTCGTAGGCGGTTTTGTGTTGTCGTATCTGTGGTCGCCGATCTTCTCGGCCGGCAGCCGACACGGTATCTCGCATTGTCCGGCAGGCGGTATTCTTCCCGTGATAGACAGTTAAAATGGCACGGCCGCCCGAGAGTTTTGCAGTTTTGCAATTCAACAGCGCCGATCGTACACCAGCCAGTCGCAGGCTCTGATGTTAGGTTGTATTTAATTCCTTATTATTGGCGCTGTTAATAAGACCTCAAGCACGGACATGGCAAGGGCAGTCGATGGTCCACTGGCGCCCGTGCAAAGTTAACGGCGCAGACGGCACCGTATGTCGGAGCCACGTCCGATGTGAGAAACTGAGAATTTCTATGAAGGCTGGGGCGGTGACGGCTGCTGCCCAAGAAGGTTTGGTCGATGTGCCGAATTCGTATCGTGATAGGGCTAAGAAGGCACCACTAGGTGAAAACGCATTAGGTGCAAAAGAAGATTGACGACTCGTCATTTTCTTATGAGACTAGGTCTCGGGGTAGACCACTAGTATGTCTCTGATTAGCGCTGCTTGGGTATGTCGGGCATCCATCTTTCCAATCGAGAAACACGAAGAGGAGCCCTGAGACTTTTGTGAAGACTGCTTGAGCCCTGAGCAGCGAGGCAAGGCAAGGCAAGGCAAGGATGTCCTGTGCCAGAGCCGGTGCCTTTGTGTTGTCTCCAGAGACGGCTGATGGCGTTGCCCTCCTTATCAGAAGAGGCTGCGACTCGGCGGGGGAACAGGACGCGGACTCTGGGCGTCTGTTGTAGGTAGTGCAAGCAACGGCCGTAAACCTCCTCGACGTCGGGGGCGTTGCATGGTAAGTATCGTGTGGGTGATGGCCGGGTGGTCAGTCAGATACATAGGCGGCCGGAGGAGGCGTTTTTCTGACTCTGCCACTTCCGTGCCGCACTTTGCATGTTGCCGCAAGACGGTGCAGCTGCATGTCAGTGCTAGGCCGCCGGGGCTTGGCCATCCGTGGCCGTACACCAACGCCTCGATCGAAATCGGAAAGGTTGAGATAAGGTCAAGTACGTAACGTTGTGTCAGCCAGTCTGTGGAGAGCCGCTGTGTTAGGTGAGGAGAAGTGTCCCTTCACACCGTTTTCAACAAGCAATTGAGAGTTGGATTTCTTGCTGTGATTTTGGCCAATTGATGGCTGCACTGAGAACGACTGACTCATAGTGACGAGACTCCCTCATTGCTGTGATCAATGTGCAGTTCATCCGCGCCGATGAAAGATACATCTCGGCTCCATGTTGTAAAAGCCTATGGTGGTTTCGTAGAGAAACATTCTGGCTTCTGCCAATGGCCAGATTGGCCGTCCCTAGTTAGACTTTTGATAGACTTGTTGTGTGCGGGTGTGCGTACTTCGAGCCCCACTGTCATAGGTAGTCCCTGGCGGCGAGACATTAGATTGAACGTCGGCCGTTGAGCCCACTGCCTCATAACCGCCCTCACTAATACTCCATATTACTCCGTACAGGCAGCGTACATGGAGAAGAGCTGGCTGGGGTCGGGATCTGCAGCTATTGTGTTCGCGAATACGTTCCATGCGACGTGCCAGCGTGCCCATCACTTCTGCCGCGTTGAAGCCATGTGGGACGAATAGAGCAAGCGATGCAGAACACCACACCAAAGTGATATTCTCGCGGGACCACGTTCTGTTCCTGAAGCAATGGCGGCCAGTCATTGAACGATAGCTCAATACGCCCCCAGTGATGACGGCTGGTTTTCGCAGTGAGGGTACAGGAAGTGGTGAGAGACAGTGAAGTAGATATTGCTTTGAATCGATATTCTCGACTTCGAAAGATTTGACTTGGGGGGTTGAAGGCTAGTGTAGTACAGTAGCGTACTGGGTAAGGGCCAGTGAGTGGCGGCAGGCCCCGTCAGAAAAGTAAAGCTCAAGATCTTCGCGCGGCGTGCGGCGTGCGGCCTGCAGGTGGATGGAGTCGCTAGTATTCATAGTGCCATGTACTATGGAGACGAGGCGGGCTTCAAAAGACGATGAGCCGCCATTCCCCCGTGTCAAGTCGTCGTCCAGTATCCGCTGGCAGACATGGAGAAGGAGATGGACATGGATGTCCAGGGTTCTGTTTTTGTTGTGACCGAGAATGGAGATTTCCGATTCTCCCTTGCATGTGTGGACAGTGTGGGTGACTGAGTGCGTCCGAAACGATCATCAGATCAAGCGTGAAGCGTCCATCAAGTGTATGTAGACGGGAGTGTGAGATGCCAGAGCTGAGAGATTGGAAGGTACATCCGAACCCCGGCACCCGTCTTTTTTGAAGCCGAAGCACTTCAACTTTGTAGGTCGTATTGTATTGTAATCTGATTATTCGAAAGCGAGGCAAAGAGAAGGGTGGACGTTGACGTTGACGAATCCAATGAGACGAGATGAAGATGGAATACTCCGTACGTACCTTGCCTTACACCGTTCGTGGGTACGTACTGCAGGATACTCCGTGTCCGTTCCTTCCATCTTGATTTTGAGATGCTGAGGCAGCAGGTGGTGGTGGTGGGTGTGACCTGGAGGTGAGGTGTTTCCAGTCTGCGGTACAGACTCACAGAGTACGTACCGTCCGGTTTCTTCCCTACCTAGGTAAGTTGTGCGCTTCTTTCCTTCTATCCATCCTTCCACCATTCCTTCCCTTCCCTTCCCTTCTCCTCCCCTTCCCGTCCGTTGTCCCCTTCCCATTTCTATCATCCTTCATCCATGGCTCCTTCTTGCTCACAGTGACAACAGTACCCCCGTGAGGTCCCCCTGTTTTGCGGAAAGAAGGTACGGGCATGGGAACGTACCGCTCCCTTCTATGCTGACACCACGCCCCTGGTGTGGAGTCTCCGTGTGTCCTCTTGGCCCTTGCCCGGCCTGCCACCTCCTCACTCGCTCTCTCCCGTCTCCAGTCTCCAGCCCGATGCGATGCAGCGGTGGTCCTTCCTTGCCCTCGTCCGTCCCTTCTCCTCATCCACCCCTCCCCCCTGCTCTCTAACGATGGGACTCCACGTTGGCAGTACGTACCTCAAGACTCTGGTTCCATCTCAGGTCCTCTCCTCCCCTCCTCCTCTTCTCCTGCTTTTTTGCACTGGCTGCATTTGCTTTGCATCCTCTCTGCATCGCTCTCGCATACTCCGTACACACACCTACTAAACACACGCATTCTGCCACACATAACAAGTACAGTATACACAACACACGCAGCAAACCTTACACAGAGAGAAACAGACGAATAGCCGTACCTCTCTCTATTTGACGGCTGCCTTCTCTACCGCTCTTTCTCTCCCCTCTCCAATCTCCTCCTGAGCTGGTGAACAAAGTCCCTGGGTTCCCCCCGTTTCCCGCCCTGCCACCCCACCATCCTTCATTCACATCGCACAACTCGGGGTTCCCTCTCTTCCTCATAATTGATGCTCCCTCTTCCATCTTGTCTCGTCTTTCTCTGTTCTTTGTGCATCATAACGTAGCCTTTGGGTGTCCCCCTCTCCACCATCTTCCGAAGCATCTTCCGAAGCAGATACACATCTGTGCCTCTGTCTTCTTGCAGAATCATCTGCCTACAAACCTCGCCACAAACCTCCATACGGCACAACATCCGCGCCATACCTCACAGATACACGGTAGTCTTTGTTTGAGACCCTCGATCCAGCCGTTGAGATCGAAAACACTACGAGTCTTCCCCCCTGCCGACTTCCCCCCTTCAGACTCCAGAGTAGCATCAAGCCGCCTCACCTCGACAAACAAGCCGCCGCCGAAATTCTCCTCTTCACCTTTCCCCTCCCAGCGCTAGCGGCTTCTGTTAGTGCCATTGAGTCCTTGACCCCCATACCTGGCCGCCAAGCATACGAAGGCATAGAAACGGTACATCCATCCACTTGGCCGCATTTCACACATGAGCGACACCGACCTAACTCTCTTCTGATCCTCGTAGGCTTGTAGTACGGATACCCATACCTTAGCCTCTGTCCCCCCCAAACTATCTTCCTTACCGACGCTTATTACCTGCCTATCCATCCACCGATCCATCATCCTTCATCATCCACATACCTTACTTTATATCTCACCTACCCTTTTCCACCCTCGTCCACATTTCCCATCAATCCGAGGCTTGGACACTTCCCGTGCAGATCTCGCCCCTGCTTCTAGTTGCCGATCACACTCGTCCAATTACGGCTCCTTTTCTACCGACGCCTTTAGCACAGCATTCCTCACCACCTATTTTACTGTCTGTCGCTTTCTGCCCGACTCACTTTTGCTACGTCTTTGCCGGCACGAGACCGCCGCTAGCCTCGATTCTGATTGCCGCCCAAGTCCAAGCGCAAGGCTTCTTTTTTACTCTTTGCTCTAGCATCGCCTGCTGTAGGAATCATCGACTATTGAGCATCTACCGACTTTGGAGATTGTCGCACCACCACACTCGCGCAGGAGAAGGATCTCTAGATACGCCGACGCTTGCTGGCGGACCATGCTTCACCCATAAGCGCGTCGATCTCTTCCTCTCTTCCCACCATTCCCTGTCGACGACTCTGCAACGCCGATCATCGCCCCAGAATCCACCAAAGAATCCCCTCAAAACCTGCTTCATTCGCTGCTACGTTCCATTGCTGGACAGCATCCCGATTCAAACCTGCCACACTTTCTACAACTAGACGTTGAGGGTCCCCAAACACTCAACGCCTAGTACTCGCTGTAGCAATCACGGCCAGCTCACAAAAGAACGAAGACCAAGACTTGGTCATGGACGCCCTCAAGAACATCGCCAACAATGTCCCCGGTTGGCTCAATCGTCTCGACGAGCTTGGGGACCAAATAGACCAACGTCAAGTTGAGCTCGCTGCCCTTGGTGCAGACAGCTCGTCGCGATCAATCAAGAACCGCGGCTCAACCGAATCACTCAAGCCAAAGGACGAACCCGCCAATGCTATCCCTCCAACCGACGACGAATTGAATGTCGAAAAGGCCGACGCTCAACGAGCCACTGGCGCCAAGACACCTCCCCAAGACGAACCGAAAAGCAACGATCAACCCTCTAGCCCAAGCAGCGGCACGCCATCTGCCCTCAAGAAACAAACCGAGCAAGCAATGGCCCTGGCACAGGCTCGAGCTCGTGCTATAGTAGAGAAGAGACCCCGACCGAATTCCGTCCTTTCAGTTGAGGAAGGCGCGCCGATCAAGTATCGATCACGAAAACTGGTCATGGTCTACTACGACAGCTATGTGCAGCTCTTTTTTGAAGAGCTAGTCAAATTTGTGTCAGCTAGCCGCAACCTGATGCGCAAGGCCAAGATGGCAGCAAAGGTGGCACAGATTCGTCGCTTGGCGGAACAAGAACTACCCGAAGACGAAGACGGCGATAAGGCTGGCGATCTCCAGCCAGATACCAATACCAGTGCCTCCGACGCGCTGCCGTCCTTGCGGTACATGAGCACAAGGCGGATGGGACCCGGCGGTCGGAGGGGTCCTTCATTTACGAGAGCCGGACAGGCCGGTGGTGGTGGTGCAATGATGGGTGATGGGGGCCCGGATGCCTACGACGAGCTGGACAAGTGTCTTGAATACGTGCAAAACCAGTGCGAGCACGCGGCACACCAGTTCCTGCGTGATGGAGAGTGTTCAGAAGAAGTTGGCAACATTCAACGTCGGTTGGCGGAGACAAAGGAGCTGGCCCTGAAGGAGATGGAGCGAGTCCAGAAAGAGGAGCCCGAGCTGCTGAAGGCGGCCAGCGAGGCGAACAAGGTGCGGACTCTTCGACCAACGAGCATGCGGCGGGAGCTCACGGCCGCCAAGGACAGCAACCCACCCATCACACCTAGGAAGCTCGAGGTTGATGCAAAGATTGAGGCCGATACCAAGACTCCAGTTGCTAAGACGATCGAGGTGGACATGTCGAAGCCACTTGAGGCAGACGATGGGCCGATTGAGGCCGACAACGACGAGGGCATCGACGACATGGAAATCACCCTGCCGCCTCGGCTGAACTATCGATCTACGAGGGCGATGCGTGGCTAGACTCCATCATCGGATATTGCAACCCATTTACAAAAGGCATATTTCTGTTTTCTTTATTTTAATGAATGAAACGGCCTCACCTGGGGATAAGAGGAGCATTGACTGGGAGCCAACGAGAACCAAAACGGGGGCGCGGGGGGAGGGGGGGCTTGTAGGCAAGTGGACAGAAGAGGGTCAAAAGATTTGCCGCCGATGATATCAAAAAACAACATGCATAGCATAGCGTCTGCTTCTTCACCATCGCTCGAATTGCATAGGAGGTCGCTTGCGTCGTACATATTTGAACTGAGGAGGGATTCTTTCTGGAAAGAGAAAGAGATGGCGAGAGAGTTGGGTTTACTGTGGAGCACAAGGCGAGGGAATCACATTTTATTTTACTGTCTTTAATAGTACGGAGAAGAGGACGGGCCTCGAGTCAACCGTCTCGGGTACAGCAGCAGCAGCAGCAGTGTCCAGCTGATCTGCCGAGTCAATCGAAAGGTTTCTTGCATCATGATGATGTCTGCTTGTTGAGTTCGTGCCCTGTATGCCAGTCTATTGATGTATTATTCCATACTCTACTCCGTAGAGTAAGTGCGTATTCGTCATCCATACGTGAAAGGCACTCCCGATATGCTTCATCCCATCTCTCCGTTCTCTCGTTCCTTCTCAAGATGATTATACCTCATGGTACAGCAGGTAATTGAGGCGGGCGGATAACCTCTCATCCACACGACTGGAGCCAAGTCTTTATGTCATTTCCCTTCTCAACATACTATGTTTCTTGCCGAAACGTTTTCCTCGTGGCGGCCACGAGGATTCCGGCGCCCTTGATCCCGCCGTCATGGCAAGGGCTCAGGACAATTCTCACCGGCAGAGGCGACTGTGATTCCGGCCCGCCCGCAGAGTATTCTAGCTTCACGATCTTGTCCAAAAAGTCTTGTGTGTCGGCGAGGTAATCTTGGAAATGGGAGATGCAGCCACCCGTGTAACCGACACCTAGCTCCATACTAGGAGGAATGCCTTGCTTCCGCTGCTGGTGGTGGTGATCGTGTTGGTGGTTTTCGTCTTGATGATGATGGTGGTGGCCCTTTGGGACAGGAGGTGGTACGTCTTCTGCCAATTTTAAGAGGGCGAAGGTGGCGGCTGCGACGATGCCTGCGGCACGGATTTCGATTGCTTTTGCGATGTGGTAGAGGGCTGCTGCGATTGTTGGTGTCCATTGGAAGGGGGTGGATGGTCCCGTTCCTGCTTCTATCTCTCCTACTGGGAACTGCTTTTCCAGCATCGACTGTAGAGGGGACGGGTCGGAAGGATTGTCATCGGCAGGTTTAAAGTGGCTCAGAAACGTCGTCGTCAGCGCGTACCTCGTGAGCAAGCCTTCTGGTAATGAGGATTCGTCGAAGCCAAGAACGGTACGGAGGTAGTCAACTAGAACGAGGCGACCCAGCTCGCCGAGATAGCGGCCGGCCGTCATGTATTCCAGGGGCTGGAAGCCAGCAATCTCGCCCGGTCCGACGAGGGCTTCGTCGAGGGCTGTGTCCCATGCTGTGATGAAGCCCAGTTCGCGTAGGGGTGGAGCCGTACCGCGGATGCTCCATTCCGTGTTCACGGCGATACGAATGTGGCCAGCGGGTTCGCCAGGGAGGGTACTCACGGCTTCGGGCCATTTCCCGGGGCCTAGGGCGGTGAGAGGAAGGGAAATGGTGGCATTGCAGCCTGTACCGACGATGAGGCCCATGCTTGCCTTTTTGATAATGAGGGACGGTGACTTGGATTCAGACTTTGATTTTGTCTTGGGACTGGACTTGAACTCGTCAAATAGATAGATGAAGGTGATTAGTGTTGAGACGGAGTCGTTTGATATAGCGGCGGCGTGGATGGGGGGCAGAGGGCTGCTGTGGATTCCGTTGGATTGGGCATTGCGAGCTTTGTCGTAGCCCCTGATGAGCAAAGGACCTAGCGTTGCGTAGCCTTTTATACTGAAGCCTTTGCCCATTGTCATGATTTGCGCTTCGGCAATAGAACGCTGAATCATGGGGAAGCTGAAAGTGATACCCATGGGAATGGACTCATCATCATCGGGCAGGAGGGACTCCTTGCGGGCATTGCGGACGACGGATGCAATACGGGCGCCAATCCAATCGAAGAGGAGCTGGGGATCCCCTTTGGCATCTGCTTTGACACGATCGTCTATGGGCCATGCTTCCTCTTTGAGTTTGAGGGTTGATGAGGATGAGGTTCCATTGGGCTTGGGCTTGGATGAGGTTGTCTTGTTGGTGTCTGTGGAGTATTTGCGCCCGAGCTCGACGAGGCCTACCCTCAGATTCGTTCCGCCGCTGACGTGGAGGTTAGCGATTTGATTCATTCTTCAGAGAAGCCTTGCAACATGGCGAGATGCGCATTGAGGGAGACGGTTGGAAGAGCTTGTTTGGGGAGGGCGCAGGCAACGTACATGTCGATGGCCAAGTGTCTATAATGCGTCGTTAGCTCCAGTATCAAAGATGGCAAACAACACACCAATTTCATCACAACTTTCCACTACTCCGGGTAATTTGAAAGGGTTCTCTAAAAGAGATGACTGGCATCTCAGGAAGTTGGGCGGAGTCGAGAAAGAATCGAGGGGTTAAAGGAGGGAACCATCATACCTTCCACGACCTTCCTGGCTGACATGTCGTAAGATGGACTCTGAGATGGGCGTGGAGAGGAACTGATCCTGGGCGTGAAGAGCGAGGTCTTTGAAATTGGACAAGAAGAGGCTGGACAGTGTATGAATCTTGTGGGCATCGACCTGGAGGGGCTGCAGGAAGTGCTGCAGGGTAGAGCCGGGATCCATGTCGTTTGTGCTCAGACGCGGGGGTCGGTGGTGAGGCGTGAGTGAGGCGCGAGGCGACGAGGCGATGAGGCTGTTTCCTACGTTTGTGTGTCTGTATAATGATCTGTAGTTTTGTCTACTGTCTATGTCACTCTGCAGCCCTTGCTTTGCTTCGCCGGGTCAAAGGCCGGTTGCTTTGCTGGACGGGTGTTCGTTTGCGGATTAGGTAGGTATGCTCGCTGGGGTGGCTGAGATAAAGCTTTACAGGCAGAGACTGGAAAATGGCTTCGTTGTCGGAAATAAAGAAATCTAAAAGTTGAATCTGACGTTTGAAGTTGCGCAATGTGTGGAAAAGGAGATGGGAGAATGACAATATGGAGCATTGAGTATGGAGCAGGGCACGTTACACTCAGCTGAGATGCGCCTGCTCCATCATCCACACCTGATGTCCTTGCCGTTGTAGCTCAGCCCAGAACAGGAAGGGGAGAGGTCCTCTCCTCAGTGGAAACTTGAAAGCAACAGCGGGCCACTGAGTCACTTCCTCCAGATAGGTACATATGACATGAAGCTGCACGGGTACTTTACTCAGGTACCGTTATCACCTCATACTTGCTTGACATATTTCGTACATTCAGCATTTCTTCTTGTGGTTTCTACTAATAAGTGAGAGCTTTTTTACTGTTCAGTCGACACAAATAAGGTCTGATGAGGTCTGATGAGGTCAGATGGGTAGGTACAGTCGAGGGGCAGAAGTACCTCGCACTGTTACATCAGCGCCAATGGACCCTCCCGCACCTGACGAGGGAATGCAACAGCTGATAAGATAAGGCAGTGAGGAGCTGACGGGACGGGAGGTTCGCCAGGAACAGGAAGCCCCCCGCTGTTGCCCGTTGATGCTGATGGCGTGCCGCTGGACGCGGAGCTTACAAGGTGGAGATATAAGAGTACTTTGGAATTACGCTACACTTCACTGTAATCTCATGTACTCTGATAATCTCGTCCAGCGTTTCCCTATCCAGCTAGCGTCGACGTTCCACCAACGTCCGCTCCGTCGTTGCTAAGGGTCTCTCTGTAGAGATCCTAGACTCTTATTGGCTGAAGAGTGCATTGTGCATTGCGCGCATCCTGCGTCTCTGTCGCAATCTCACAGACACTCACACACCAGTGCCAGTGCCAGTGCACCACCACCACCACCACCCCTCGCGACGTGATCCTGTCATTACTAAACTTTGCTTCGGGGGGACCTCTCGAACATCTGCAGCTCCTCTTCTCCAAATGGGGGCGCATCGAGGCTGTTCAGAACACCGCTCCGTCTACCGTCAACAGCGCCAAGAAGAAGCTCGATCCCAATCTACTATCGACCCGACGACTACGACTACGACTACGACTACTCCCGCATCCAAAACTCCTTCTCCGTACCGATACCCCGAGTCCGAATACCCCGTTGTCATGGACGAAAAGCGAGACTATTACGGATACCGCACATCGACACCTCCTCCCTATCCGGCCATGTCTGCGCGGATGACCCGGAGAAGGGGCATCTTGCCCGCCCTGGCTATGGCTGTCTTGTTCGCCTACTCTCTGTGGAATTACCTGCGCCATCCCTTGAGCAGCAGCACTAGCAGCAGCAATACTCGCATCGTGCCTCAGGAGCCGCCGGTCGAGGTTGCCAAGAGCTTGGTGCCTTTGGAGGCGCACATTATGAGCAAGTGTCCGGATGCGAGGGTACGCAATACTCCGTGTCGAGATGACATTTCTATGATTGAGGAGAGGATGCTAATGCCATACGTGTTTAGGACTGCTTGAGAGATTTGGTTCTGCCTACCATGGTCAAGTCCCTCGACAAGGTCAACTTTACCCTTTCATATATCGGCACGTAAGTAACGACCCTCCTTCTGGGCTCTGCAGTGGCCGACGACACTGACTGACGATGCCACTATCCAGACCGACCGAAAATGACGGCGTAGATTGCAAGCACGGCCCTGCTGAGTGTATGTTTGCTCTTGCATAAAACACAAACCGCACTACATGTGAATGCTAACCTCGACGACAGGCATGGGAAACATTATTGAGCTTTGCGCCATCCATCTCTACCCCGATCCCAAGATCAACCTCGGATTCACCATGTGTCTTACCCGCGAATACAGTGCCATCCCTGACCGTACTCTGGTCGAGGACTGCGCTCTGGAACACGCCATTGACATCAAGGCCCTTGACGACTGTGCTACCCAGGACGATGGTGGCTTCGGCGTCGGTATGCTGCGTGACAGCGTCCGCCGGAGCAAGGATGTAAGTCTCACCCACATTTCCCTCCTATCTAAGGTAATCTATGTCTAATCAACTGTATAGGCTGGCGTCACCAAGAGCTGCACCGTCCGTCTCAACGAGGAGATTTACTGCATTCGGGACGGCGGCGAGTGGAAGGACTGTCCACACGGTACCGGCCCTAACGATCTTGTCATCGCTATTGAGAAGCTGTACCGTTCTGCTTAGACTTCTTGAGGGGCTCGTACACCTCTGTCCATAGCTCGCTGGCTTCGCCAAGTGTGTAACTTAGTGCAATACCATCCATACCCGCCTCCTCATCTCCCTTCATGATCTCGAGCGTCTCCACGATGCTGTCGAGACCAACCGCCTTGCCGACCGCCTGCGTCGCGCCGGCCTCCAGCTGCACGTGTACAATGTGAATGTGGAAGTGGTAGTACGTCGGCTGGTAGTGGACGTAGAGCTTGAGCTGGTCGATCTCGATGTCGGGGTACTGCTTCACCGTCGCAGCCAGCAACTTGGCCTTCATGTGCTGCAGCCAGGGGATGTGCTTCTTGCGGAGGTCGCGCAGGGACCAGATGTCGCGGCGCTCGACGAGAGCCAGCAGGTGGAGGCCCTCGATCGTCTTACGGTCCCAGTTGAGGTCCGGGATGAGCAGGAACCCTTCGTCGCCTTGGGTTCCGAGCTGGGTGCGGTAGATTACGTCTTCGACTTCGGTGCGGCCTTCGATGATGTTGAAGACCCAGTCCAGCCGGCCGTCGCCGCGCTTGCGTTGCATGTAGGGGCGGATGTGGGAGGCGTAGAGCTCTGGCGTCTCTGTGACGAAGCGGACGCCTTGTTTGCTGTATTTTTTAATGTGGGCGGCGGTGCAGGGGTAGATTAGGTTTATTTTGAGGTCGGCGAGGGAGGTGTCGGTGGAGGTGGAGGAGGTGTTGGCGAGGTACCAGTGGTAGATGTCGTTTGCGCCTAGGTTCGTGATGGAGGAGAGGGTTGTTGGGGTTGCGGCTAGGTAGGAGGGGTCGGCTGGGAAGGGGGCGCGTTCGAGGATTAGGAGGGCTGGGTTGGAGTCGATTGTTCCTAGAAGAGAGGTGCGGCGGCCTGCTTGGTCTGGTGAGGGTATCGTCAGTGCTGGAGCCCGGGACTTGGTGGTGGCGGTGTGGCTAGATCATACCTTGGTTGAGGACACGATCGAGCTTGAATTTAGGAATTAACGCCTCGGCGTTTGCTTTAACGTCTGCCATGGTGTCGATTGGGAGTTTGAGCGGAACCTTCGAAATTTGATTGTACCTTATCGTGAGGTGAGGAAGTTTACGCAGCGGGCTGGACGGGACGGGAGTTGACGATGGAAAAAAATGGCGGGATTGGCACCCGGGTTGATGTGGCCGAGTGGCAGGAGTACTCCATACACCGCAGCAGGTCCTGACCCCGCGACGGGCTACCCCGCGGTGGGGCACCAGCTCCTGCCATTGCCGCCGATGCTCGTCGTCCGTCGTCCCTGCCTCCGTCCAGTGTCAAGATTCGGGAGGAAGTTGCAGAATATCCGTACCCTGATAGGTTTGATGATGTCGGGACTCAATTCTTTCCAGTCATCTCATCACTCCATGATCACTTCATCCTTTCGACATACGATGTTTGCTGCACTCGGCTCTCTGAGCGGCACACTGCGAAACCAACAGCTAACACAGATCCATACATGCCACGAAAATCAGACATGTTTGTCAACAAGATACGATGACGTACGGCTGCATACTATGTTTTATCGTTTCTGTTTTGTCCAGGTATTCAGATACCACATCTGAGATGTACTCAGTGTCAAGGCTGACGTGTAAATCCAGGTGCCACAGCCTGCTTGACCCGGAATCGAAGATTGAAGCACGGCCCGTCCTAAGCCGCTCCGGAGCTCAAGTCTATCCGACTCCTTTCCCAAGCCCCGTCCCGGGCCTGAATTCAACACAGCCGTAGACAGTGGTGGAGACGACACATCAAAATCAATCATCGGGCGAAGACCTTCGATGACTTTGAGGTACAGTGTCATCTTGCACTGACCACGTAGTACTTCGTTTGATGAATTCGAACAGATTGCGATCGAGAAAGGAGGACAGGACAAGCCATATCGCCGCGGTTTCGGCGTTTTCGCCTCGGGAAATTCGCGCCTTACTCTCGGCGGCGACGGCGCAGCGCGACGAAACAGCACAAATCGCTCGCCGGCTTGTCAACCTCCCACACTATTCAAGGCGCACTGCTTGGCGGTTTGATGATGTGTAACCCGGCAATATTCGCGCAACGAGCGCGATTACTGCGTTCAACATTGTTGATTATGACAGTGACGATGCGTCGAATTACCTCCACAGCGGCAGAAGGACCGCAGCACTGAGACCACCGATACCCGCAAGAACAGAGTTCAGGGTCGAAAGACGAGAGCCATTAGCGGAGCAATCCACCCCAGCGCGGGCCTGTCCGCCGCCAATGGCTGCATCGTGAGAGTCTATCGACCGGAGGGTCGGCGTTGCAAACCCGCCGAACTCTATTCGCCCGCTCCGGTTGCAACTCCCCGGCCTCTGGATCACGACTCAAACACTTTTGGTTCCCAGGTCGTGGCATTGTCGATTAAACGACAAGTGTCCTCCACCAACATGCATAGGCTTCGGGGAATTGTTCAAAAGTGCGTCGCGGCTTGGAAAGGCGCCCGAGAGCAATTACAAGCACCCCCGCAAGAGTTGAATGACACCGCAGGCAGGCAGGCAGCACAATGCGAGCGAGAGACATTTTTGCGGCGGCCAAATTTGATGTCTCAGACCTTAGCCACTGGGTGTACTCGTATGCCAGCCACTTCCCACGCACCATCAGCCCTAGTGTAGCTGGGAAACACCAGGCACTTTACACAGAAGCTAAGCCTATCGCGAAAGGTTTTCTGTCTCTGTAAAGTCCTTGGTACAATCGCTGCCTATGTGAGTAGGTAGCTATGCGATTTGGGCCGTAGATGCGCGTCCCAACCAACAGTTTCAAATAGGACAGGCATTTCCAACCAACCGCTGCGGGCAAAGATCCTTCGTTTCGTGCCGCTATCCGTACCAACTAATGTACTTCATAACCGGGGGGAGACACACCAAGTAGCGTCGATAAGTGGCCAAACATTGAGGGGCCCCAAGTACGAATACCTTAGTTGGACTCGTCCTAAAGGTTACGAGCACCTCGCGCATCTCTATCCAATACCCCTGGCGCTGTATCCGGACCAATGTACATGTCGACCCGCCCAACCCCATACCATCGTAATCATCCTCTTAAAAGCCAGCTTTTGATCATCTTTTCGTCCACATCTCTCATATTCCCCTGCTCACTCTTGTTGCTAGCGTTTCCAATGCCCAGCGTTCTGGGTTGACAAGAAGCCGCCACGATACTACTAAAAATCGAAAGGCCGTCGGCCATTAGCCATTGAGATCATCGCTAGAGATCATTCGAGACGGTGGGAATTCACCGAGTTGTTCCACAGCTCCACACGCATCTCCCTTCTCTACCTCTCCACCCTGCAACAACTCCGGAATCTTACTCTATCCTTGACACAGGCTCGAACTAGACTCGACTTGAGTCTTGGACGTCTTTTCGAAGTACAAATTGGACGTTGTCCCCTCGTTCTCGTCCCACCTACCCAGAGTCACCCCCATATCCCAAATCATACGACGTCAACCACTGTCAACATGGCGACCAAAGAGGAGGTGCCTATCCCCGAACCAAGAGGTCTCCCCTTCTTAGGACACATTGCCGAGTTCAATCCTGAGAATCCATTGAACGACCTACATCGTTTGGCTGATACATATGGTAAGCCCATCCACTTTCTTTAAAGGCGTGTCTCAAGTTTGCTAAAACCATACTTCCAGGCGAGGTTTACCGGCTACGCATGCCAGGAATGACTGTAGTCTTCGTATCCACAAACGCCCTTGTCAACGAAGTGTGCGATGAGACTCGCTTCCAAAAGTCCTTGAACAATGTCCTTCGCGTAAGAAAGACCAAGAGTCCCCCGGACAGCAAGCAAGGCTAATGGTCCTTACAGGAAGTCAGACACATCGCCAACGATGGTCTCTTCACCGTAAGAATCCCCTCTATACCCACAGCAACATTCTTGCTAACGAACTTCCAGGCCAAACCAGAGGAACCCAACTGGGGCATCGCGCACAGAATCCTTATCCCAGCTTTCGGTCCCGTCACCATCCGCGGCATGTTTGACGAGATGGCCGACGTTGCCTCCCAAATGGCCATGAAATGGGCCCGCCACGGAAGCCAGACCCCGATTCGTGTCACTGACGACTTCACTCGGCTGACCCTCGACACAATTGCCCTCTGCTCAATGGACTTCCGCTTCAACTCGTACTACCGCGAGGAACTCCACCCCTTCATCAACGCCATGGGCGACGCTCTCACAGAATGCGGCAACAGGGACAAGAGACCAGCCTTTGCCAACTACTTCTTCCGGAGCACGGAGCAAAAGTTCTTTGCCGACATTGAGCTGTTACGTAAAACGGCCAGAGAAGTTCTTGAATCACGCAAGGCAAACCCATCGGACAGAAAGGACCTGTTGTCTGCGATGCTGAACGGCGTGGACCCTAAGACGGGCCAGAAGATGACCGATGCCAGCATCATTGATAACCTGATTACGTTTCTTATTGCCGGCCATGAGACAACCTCCGGCATGCTGTCTTTTGCATTCTTCGAGCTTCTGCGCCAACCAGCGGCATACCGAAAAGCCCAGCAGGAAGTTGACGATGTCATTGGGCAAGCCCCCATCACGATAGACCACCTTTCAAAGCTGCCTTATCTAAATGCCGTAAGTCTCGACAGCTCTATACACGATCCGTTAAGACAATCACACTGACATTCCGACCTGCTAGGTTCTCCGCGAGACTCTCCGTCTTTGCGCCACGATTCCGGCTTTTGCCGTTGAAGCTAAGGAAGACACCCTCATCGGCGGCAAATACCCAGTCAAGAAGGGCGAATCCATAGCCTGCCTGCTCGGCAAATCTCAACTTGACCCAATCGTCTACGGCGACGATGCCGGCGAGTTCAAGCCCGAGAGAATGCTGGACGAAAACTTTGAGCGAACCCAGAAGGAATTCCCGAATTCGTGGAAACCCTTTGGCAACGGTATGCGCGCTTGTATCGGCCGACCATTCGCCTGGCAAGAGGCTCTGCTCGCCACAGCCATGCTGCTGCAAAACTTCAATTTTACCATGGATGACCCGAATTACCAGCTCAAGATCTCCGAGTCCCTAACAATCAAGCCAAAAGATTTCTATATGCGCGCGACTCTGCGGCGCGGCATGAGTCCCACAGAGCTGGAGCACAAACTCGCGGGCAGGGGACCGATTAAGACCAAGCTGGCTGATCGGCCCTCCCCATCAGCTCAGGCGAACGGTGAACAGACCAACGGAAACAAGGCCTCCGCACGAAGCGGGAGACCCATTAGCATCTATTATGGCTCCAACAGTGGCACCTGTGAGGCCCTCGCCCAGCGCCTTGCGACCGACGCGAGTTCCCACGGATTCGATGCCACGGTCGTCGAGCCTCTTGATACCGCCCGCGAAAATCTCGTCAAAAATCAGCCCGTGTTCATCATCACTGCTTCATACGAAGGCCAGCCACCAGATAACGCAGCCCATTTCGTCGCCTGGCTCGAGAGCCTGAAGGACCAGGAGCTGCAGGATGTCCCCTATGCCGTCTTTGGCTGTGGTCACCATGACTGGGTGCAAACTTTCCACCGCATCCCACATCTGGTTGATACCACCATGGAGGAGCATGGAGGCAGCAGGCTCGTTCCCATGGGTCTTACCGACGCAGCCGAGCGAGACATGTTTTCCGACTTTGAAGTCTGGGAAGACGAAATCCTGTGGCCGGCTCTTGCTGAAAAGTACGAAGTGAACGAGGCACAGGACGGCAGTGGCTTGCAATCCGGCCTCGCCGTGCAGATCTCCAACCCGCGCACATCTACGCTGCGGTCCGATGTCCAGGAGGCTGTCGTTATGGAGGAGAAGATGCTGACTTCGCCTGGTGAACCCGAGAAGAGACACATGGATATCCAGCTCCCGTCAAATATGACGTACAGGTCGGGAGACTATCTCGCGGTGTTGCCCCTGAACCCACGTAGCAATGTCGAGAGAGTATTTAGGAGGTTCCAGCTAGCGTGGGATGCGTGCCTCACCATCTCTGGCGATAAGAGGACTGCCTTGCCAGTCAACCAGACGATTTCTGC